CATCAGAATAGAAGAAGATATATAAGTGCCATGGTATTGACTGAGATAGTATCAACCTTTGAAATACGGGTTCATTGGGGACCCCAATTCAACCCAGACGGTGCGCTTACTTCCCAAGCGAGAGTAAGGTCCACTGATTGGCCATTCGAAATCTCGCATATCCATTCCAACATCCCTTCTCTGGCCCCATCCGCTCCAGCAAGCCCACTCGTACTATCCAATCCTTCTGCTGCCAACTCATCTTCATCTGCGACCTTCCATCTGACGCTGACACTCTTCGAGATCTTGGTTTCTTTGGGAATCATTAGTTTTTCGCCGGCACTGGACAATTTCGAGAGCGAGCCACCAGTAGAACCACCGATAGTGTTTCTTCCTGCAAACTCGATTTGAGAAGGCTCGACAAGAGCCACCTTGATCCTTTGGTCCCCGGAGACCGGTATCTGATCGCGCACGACGAGCCGTTTGATGGTGGTGGTTCGAGTGTTCTTGATGGTGATTTTTTGGTGATATGCGAAGGATGTCGTCCTTGTGGTAAGAAGTCCACCCTGACTGCGTGCTTTCTTTGTTCGAGGGTGGTAAGTCAGCTTGACTTGAGGGTCCACACCCAGAGAACAGTGGAAGGTCTCGCCCGGGCTGACGTGCTATAAAAAATAAAATGATATCAGAGCGAGATCGCAGTATGATGTCATGAAGAGAGAACAAGATACGTACATCGATTGCAGACTTGGCAACGAAATTATCGTCAAGGAAGATGTTTGCCCTCCCTGGTAGGAATAGGTATTGACTCGTATTCTTGACCTTGGCTTGAAGGAATGCACTGGGTGTATCTTTCGGAACAGTGATCCATTCCAGGTCCGCAGCAAGATCCACGACCGCCACGGTAACTTTATGGGCCTGGGCAGTTAGGTCAGTGTCGCTTGGGATCGTTGAGAGACCCTCTATGATATAAGAAGTTGAAATGGTGCCTTCGATAGCGAGAGCTTCAGGAACTGCAAATGCAGCTCCAAGAGTACTTCCCCCTTCACCTCCGTAGGCGTCATAGGATAAACTAGACAATGCAACACCCACACCCCCCGGAGCAGGCATTTGATTCATTGAAGGCGAAGGGGCAATGTTGCTTCCTCTACCAAAGCCACCCTTCTTTAAATTCTTCGCATAGTATTGGACAATGGGGTTGAGCCACTGAGGAGAAAGCTTGGGAATCGCGCTTCCTAATTGAGGAGAGGCGGTAGAGAGCGTCAAATATACTTCTTTCCAATCCTCTCCCGTACTTTGGACGATAGTCGCTCGATATTGTAAAGTAATGTCCGTCTTATTGGGAGATATCGCCGCCCGGAGATCATATAGGGGTGTCCATGACGCGTTCGATACCACTGTATAAGGTGTGTCAGGTTGATATACTCGAAACTGAGGAATCTCTCGCTCACGATAGGTTAGGGATATTTCCGCTGTCCCATCCTCCTCCGCGTACACGATCACTGTAATCCTCACCGCCCTCTTCTTGCCTTCTGTATCTGCATCCCATATCTCCCTTTCTCTCTTGATCTTTTTATCTACTTCTGCGATCTTGTCGTTTATTTCCGTCGACTTTACGTCAATTCCGCTTTGTCGTTCGGCGTACAGATCCAGAAATTCGTTGAGTTGAGCTCCCGTCGTATCTGCGCCTTTCAACGTATCGGAGTATTTCTGCAATATTTCCGCTTGCTTATTGAAGACTTCAAGCTGTTGTTCGAGCGCTTTTCTCTCGCGCTGCAATTCTTTGACCGCTTCCTCGTGTTTCTTGTCAGAGTCGTTGGACTTTGGAGGATGATAAATGACATCGGAAATGATTGCATTGTGACCAATTCCGTCCACACGGATGGAGTCCTCGTCCAAGACTGTGGGGAGCTGAGAGATGTCCACTTCGTTTTGGCCTGCCTACGGGGACATGGGTATCAATTCCGCTTGGCTTGGATGATGCTAACACATACCTTAAGGTCTACTGTGAACAGGCGAGTAACCTCCGCGCGGTCTGCTTGGAAAACGGTCACAGAGTGGACCTTGCTCTGAGTCGCTCTGAGTTCGATCGTCATTATTTCAAAGATCGACGCTTTTTTAATGGATGTTCTGTGCTGCTAATTCTTTATC